AAATGGAAATAAAGTCTTTGTAAATAGGGAAGGGTGGAGGGGGTGAAGGGAGGGCTAGGAATGGGGAAAAAATAAAAACCAAGATGCATTATGTAAAGGTACAATTTCCAGTGAGAAATGTAATTGTTTTGTATATCTACAATGTACCAATAAAAGAATTTAATAAAAAAAAAATGTTAACAAGGGCTGGGGATTTAGCTCAGTGGTTCCACCACCTGCCTTGCAAGTGCAAGGACCTGAGTTTGATCTCCGTTATCAAAAAAAAAAAAAAAGTTAACCACATCAATAGTGATGAATATAAAGTATGTATCTGCAGACCATTCTTTCTGGGTACCATGACTCTATCGTGAACAGGTACCAAGGAGAGGAAAAGTAAGGTAGCCCAAGTTCAACATAATGTTTGCATGCTTGTAAGAGATGGATAAACATAGAGATACAAATGGTATTGCAAAGTTTAAATCATCTTTGTCTTTTAAAAAAATAATGTATTTTATATTGTTCATAGTGCAAGAAGTACCAATGAATATAAAGCAAAATACCCCTCCTACCCTCTCCTCCAGCCATCTCTTTATGAGTCAGTAAATATCACTTTCTTTTCTGAAAACATTTCCTTTCAGATATTTTCTGCATGTTGGTAGTTCTTTTCTAAAATGCATATTACCTTTACCTTATTAGCTATTCCTTATCTGCTCAGCTTATAGGTTGCTGCTTTAATTTTACTTGCTTTCTGAATTATTGCTTTTCCCATGCAGCTCATGATCTTTGTAAACAAATATAAGTAGTTTAGTGCTTCTGTGCTTTTAAATTAATGAATTAAAAGCCTTCACAGCTAGTCAAATGTTTGTCTCAATCACTATAAAGCCCTCTATGTCTCCCTAAGCAATCTTAACTTGCCTCATAGACACCTTCCCAGCTTTCCCTTTAGATAAAACATCAACTTGTTTCTACAAGTGTCCCAGATGTGTGCCAGGCTCTGTGCTAAGCATGTTATCCAGATTACCCCCATTTGATCCTATGATAGTCCAAGGCATTTAGTACCACTGTGATCCTCATTTTTCAAATGAAAAAACTGAAAGTTCAAGTAGTTAAGCAACTTTCCCAAACTCACCTGAGAAATGACAGAACTGCCACGTTGAATCCAGTCTCTTTTTACCAAGAGCCCCAGCTCTTGAGTATTACTCCATTACACCTCCTAAGGAATTCAACTTAAGAAGGAAATTAAGTGGGCATTTCCCAGATAATGATAAGCCGGACTGAGCAGAGGCTGGGTCTTCATCAAGTGCTGGATTTTCCTTTCACCAGGTAAAAATGGGAAAAGAGGTATAGGCACTGGTATTGCATCCAGGTAAGTGTGTACTGTTGCAATCCACGAAGATCCTAGAGCTAGAAAGAAAGGATGGCCCTAAATAAGGCAGTGTTCTACATGTTCTGTGATCCACAGGATTATAGAAATCCATGGAGCAAAAATATCTAGCAAGAGATGTAATTTAGATTTCTTTTGTTAAAGCCTGTTTAGTTCATTATGTGGGGACCATTAGAGGAGGATGTAGAACATGACCTGGGTGGCTGATGGCTATGTATTTACCAAAAACTTATCATAGGCTATGTAATTGAGGAAGCTAGCCCTTGTGAAACTGTAACATGCACTTGCTATAAGATCCTAGCCCCCTGACCTTTTCCTCAACCCAGAAACAAAGGCTAAGACCCTGATTGGCCTAGATTACACCAATCAGTGAAACAGTTATTCTTAGAAACCAGCTCACCTTTGTAAGTGTGGGTACTGTACAGTGGTCCTCTGACCCTTGGGAAATTCAGTTGAATTCCCCTTACCTTGTAGCATACTGTTGCAAGGTAGCTAATTCTCCCACATTCACACAGTAAATAAACTTTTGCTTCACATTACTTTCATTTCTGACTTCCTCATACTTTGATGGCCAGACTTCTGTATTCTCTGCAGGGGGCCTTCAGCTCTAAGCCAGTCTTGCTCTACTTCTTCATTCTTCGCTGGAATGGGTGGAAATGAGGGACCCTGAGATTCCCAGGGGAGACAGGAGGTCGTTGAAGACCCCTGGCCCCTCAAAGATCACCCATCTGATACAACAATTACTGCCTTTTTTGCCTTAGAGAATCAGTAAAATGTCTTCTTTATCCTAAAGATACCTTACTTTTCTGAAAATCTTTAGCTTCTCTGTGAGCTTCTTAGAGGATAATCAAATTAATAACACAATTAATGTCTGGTTTGGTTAGGGTTCCCCAGAAAGCAAAGCCTAAGATAGAAGTCTAGATCTAGAGTTCAACTTATGTAAAACCAAAGAGGTAACAGAATTGGAGGCTTATTTAATACAGCACTGTTCCTCAGTGAAAAATCATAGTTGTAGCCCTATTTACTATTTACCTGAACTCCAAGGTGGGATGGGAAGAAAAGAAAGGGTTAATTTCTGTAGATTTGTAAACCAATTTCATAATTTGGAAGGAGGTTTAACAGTTAAAATGGAATTAATGCTCAAATTACAGAAACAAAATACTATGCATGCTTAATAGCCTGACAAATTTCCATTTCATTTATATTTTAAATTTATATGGGTGTTTAGAGACTTCTGAAATAAATATTTTGGATTTGCAGGAATTCTCTATACAAGACAGATGCTATAAAGGTAAGAGTATATAATTTTTTTATAATGCTTTGGGTCTATTTTATCATCAATTTATATGGTTTAAAAATAATTTCCTTTTGGGCCGGGGATTTAGCTCAGTGGTTCCAGCGCCTGCCTCGCAAACACAAGGTCCCAAGTTCAATGCCTGATACCAAAAAAAAAAAAACCAAAACTGCCTTTTAGCCTAGTTAATAGAAATGTTTGTATCGAGGCTCGTAATATATTACAGTACTTCAAATACCTCAAGCTAAAGTAATGCTATTTTTTTATTGCTGTTTCTATTTTAGGCACCCACACCTAGACATCATGGCAGATTGTTAACGTTTGATCCAAAGGGTAAATGATTTATTATTTAGAATGCATTTGAGCATGATTTTGTCTTAAATATGAATTAAGAATAATTTGGAATGGTTGAATGTGATTGCATAATTTAAAAATTAAATCCTCGGGGCGAGGATAGGAGGGGGCGGGACCGAGCGCTGGTGGAGGAGAGCGCGGCCGAGAACCTGGAGGGAGGGAAAGGAGGAAGAGGGAGGCAGGTAGGCTGGCGGGCGCGGAGGTCGGGGACTGAAGCAGCAGAGGCCGGGGACTGAAGCAGCAGAGGCAGGCGAGAACCCGGCCGCCGCTCCGTGCGGTTGCTGCGCGGGCTTCTGGAGGGGCGGCCGCTCAGCCGGCTGAGGGGAAGCGGCACCGGCGGCGCTGGCGCTGCTGCTTGGGGGCGGGGGGCCGGAGCGGCGAGAAGGGGGTCGCTGCGGAGCGTCCTCCCAGCCGCGCTCTTCGCGCCGCTCTCCGGCCCGGTGGGCTCCTCCCGGCGTCTCCCTAGCCTCCGGGGCCCCGCTCCCCGCCCCCCGCGGTATGTCTTGATCCCGAGCGGCGGGTTTCATGGGGCTCCTTAGGATTATGATGCCGCCCAAGTTGCAGCTGCTGGCGGTGGTGGCTTTCGCGGTGGCTTTACCCTTGATGGGAACCCTCAAGCCGAACCTTCAGGGCCTGTACTTCCCAGTTCACCAGGGCTAGGAGAACAGTCCAAGGAGCGGGAAGGCACCTACGAGTCTCTCTGAAGAAGGCAGAGCAAAACTGGCCTTAGGAAACTAAATTGAGGTCGGCGTCGGAGTCGGGGTCAGCGGCGGGGTCCGGGTCCCCATCCTCCTCCCTGCGGCTGTGCGTGACCGGATCTCCTACGCCTTCAGGCCGTCCATGACAACCAGATCCTCATCGTCATTGGCGAGACCGGGTCTGGGAAGACCACACAGATCTTGTGGCCCAGTACCTGGCCGAGGCTGGCTACACATCCTGGGGCAAGATCGGCTGCACCCAGCCCCAGCACCTGGCCTCCATGTATGTGGCCAAGCGGGTGTCCGAGGAGTTTGGCTGCTGCCTGGGGCAGGAGGTGGGCTACACCATCCGTTTCGGGGACTGTACCAGCCCCGAGACCGTCATCAAGTACATGATGGATGGCATGCTGCTGCGCGAGTGCCTGATCGACCCCGACCTGACACAGTATGCCATCATCATGCTGGACGAGGCGCACGAACAGATGATCCACACCGACGTGCTCTTCGGGCTGCTGAAGAAGGTGACATCCTGGTCTTCCTGACTGGGCAGGAAGAGATCGACACGGCCTGCGAGATCCTGTATGAGAGGATGAAGTCACTGGGCCCCGACATCCCCGAGCTGATCATCCTGCCCGTGTACTCCGCCCTGCCCAGTGAGATGCAGACCCACATCTTCGACCCAGCCCCGCCGGGCATCTGGAAGGTCGTGATTGCCACCAACATTACGGAGACCTCGCTGACCATTGACGGCATCTACTACGTGGCGGACCCCAGCTTCGTGACGCAGAAGGTCTACAACTCCAAGATGGGCATCGACGAGCTGGTGGTGAAGCCCATCTCCCAGGGCTGATGGCATCGGTTATGAAGAGGAAGGTGGCCCAGAAGCTTGCTGCTCAGAAGGCTTTGACAGGCGCGTTCCCGAAAGTGTGCATCGTGGCTCTGGGGTGGAACTCAGGACCTTGTGCTTGTGAGACAGTTGCAGCACAACTGAGCTACATGGCCAGCCGTGCAGTGCTTTCTCTGAAGCTTTGCTCATTGTATCCCAGGGCGTTGTGGTTCTTGGAGAATAAAAATTGCCCCTGCCTTCTGATCTGAAGTATCTACTGGTCCCATGGTCTCCGTCCCGGGTTCGAACTCCCTTTGAAACTGTGAAGTCATCACAGTGGGGATGTCTATGAAGCCCGAATCTGATGGAGAGGAGTGAGTTCTGAAACATGGAACCCTTACCAAGTTCAGAGCAAATGGCAACACTGTGGAAGAAATCGCCTTCAGATGTGCTCTCCTGCCTCCACCCCACCTGGTCTTTATTTTGCTTGGAAGCAGTGCAGGCAAGGGGAGGAAGACTCACTCTGTGTTTCAGGTGGAGGGGGAAGAGCTCCAGTTGCCAGGGCTGGACCACTACTTCTGATAGAGCAGTGCTAAACAGTATGACAGGCCCTGGCCTTGCCTCCATTTTTTTCTCCACAGAATGTTTTGTTTTGGAAATGTAA